TAATGGACGTTTCACTTTATATTTTCTTCGAATATAGAAATTTATATATTTTTTAAATTAAATTTTGTTCAAGCAACTTATGCTCCTTCCGCTAGCAAAAACCTGATTTTACTAAAGTTAATTTTCATAAATCCATCTAATTTTTAAAAGATATTCATATTCATTTTTTATAATAAACAAGCATCGAACAATTATTTTAATAATTTATTTGAATGGCAAAACTTTTACTTTTTCCAAATAAATTTTTTTTTTTTTTTGCTTTTTTGTCAAAGATTAAACCTTTGATATCTGAAAGTAGAGTTTATATAATCAGATATTTTTCTAGAGTAAAAAAAAAGTTTATAAATTAGAAAATATAAATACAATTTTTATCGTTTCCAATTTCTTTCATTGTAAAAAACCAAAATAAATAACTCAATATCTGTAATAAGAGCGAATGTTACTACGATAAAATTAACTTATTTTAACAATATTTCTTATTCTTATTCCTTTGTACAAAAAATATTTAAGTTAAATACACATGACTTGTGTGTAATTTGTATGATTTTTAATATGATAATCGATTCTGCGGTATTAACATAACATAACGAAAGATAACTTAAAAATTTATGGCATTATATCGAAATGTTGATTATCGTTGAGTTCGTTGTATCGAATATTTATGGCGTAATATCGAACTAACAATTGGCTTATATACTGTACAGTATATCAGTCCAAAGTTTACTTTTTTTATCTGAATTATAAAGTATATATTGTAAGAAAAACTTTGTTAATTGTTGTTATAATATATACCTTTTTAATAAAATAAGTAAAAGTTTTAATAAGCGATCAGGGACTTTTTTTACTCTTTACGCCCTGTTGTCAGGCATTAAGAGGATCTTCTAATTAAAAAGGCCCTCTTTTAATGAAAAGTTCTTGAGGTTTGTCGACCTCTCGGATTCGATTCCGGGTGTCCCAGAGTAAAATGATCATGGTATTAACTCAGAGAGAAATATAAGAACAAACAGACAAAACGGCATTAAATTTTAGCTAAAAATTTATATAATTTTTTAAAATAAATTGCTTATGTTCTGCATAAAAATCCATAGGAAAAATAATCGAAACGAATTTAATTCGTTTCGATTTTTTAAAATTCATTTATTAATTAATAAATCAAAAACTTATTCGAAAAATAAGTTTAAATCACTAATAAAGGTATATTTATGTATATATAGCGTGTTTATTTATAGTTCATTTAGGAGTTAACCGGATGTATGATAGAATTTAAACAAAAAGAAATGAATTTAAAGGTCAATTTATTATCAGATTCAATTCAAATTTTAGCTTATTATCAGGAGAAATTATTATTATTCTATATTTGATGACTCAAATTTCGTTATCCACAAATCGGATTTAATCTCTTAATATAGTTCTCTTTGTGGATGGATAAACCGATTAGTTGAGAGGAGGGGGAAAAGAAACGAATCGAAACGAGAGATCGCCTTTGTTCCTTTCATTCGATAACTTCTCTCGATATAAAATCTTAATTGCACTCGACCTTGATTTCGCTGTTACAGCGAAATCTTCTTAATTCATCAATCGAGAGAAACTTATCTGGATGTGGTCGGGACGTGCCGAACACCCGTTCCCATTCTATTGATATCTCCATGGTAACAAAGATTCCGGACGTAAGCAATTCGGTCCACTTAAAAATCTGGAAAGACGAGTGCTACGACAATACTTCGATTTTGAATATCGGGTATGTTTTAGGAATTGTTCGTTTCCACAATTATTATTCGTTATCGTCAATTGTTCCTTTTCATTTTTTTTTACAATAGTGTCAAACAATTGGTATGATTTTTTTTGCTTGGTTAATTTTAATCAGTAAAATTAGAGTAAGTAATTAATAATATATCAGTAAAACTAGAGTAATTTATAGTATTTTATTGAGCCTTATAGCAAACGGATAAGTGCAAACTTTTTAATTAATTTATTATCTTTAGGAATATTCTTGAGTTCTTTAAAATATTTTAACGGATTTTATGCAGTAATTTTTAAAAAGTTTATAGAATTATATCAAGGTTTGCTTCTTTCACGAATTATTCACGAATTTTAAACACGTTGTAAACAAATTAATGAACAGAAAATATAAAATTTAATGTAGAATTTTATATTTTATACAAAAACAAAATTATTTTATGCATTATCTATCAGTGTATGTTAGTAGTTTCCAATTTTTAAAAGAAATTATTCTTTTGTTTCATAAAAAACAAACATAAAATACCACACAAAGATACTTACTGCTAAATAAAATGTTTAGAATAAAAAAATTCTATTTTAAATTTTATATTTTAGAGTGATAAACTAGTAATAGAATATCGAATACGTTCGGTTGTCGTACTCAAAAATAAACAATAATATTGATCACTTTTTCCCGCCTCCCTTGAAAAGGCATCGCGATCTCCCATGGGCATTATATGTAAACAGTTTGAGAATTACTGGTCTAGACACTTTAAGATATTTAATAGCTATAAATACAAAGTATATAGATAACGTATAAAAACGTACAAGTAAGAATAAAGTACAAAGTAAAAATGAGTAGAAAATCGATTGCAAACTTCAATGGACAATGCTCACGGCAATCGCATTCGTTACTACATAATCCAATATAAGAATGTTGGACTCGAGACACTGACTGGACACGTCACATTCGATATCCTCGACGGTCAACATTGATATAATACCCTTCGAAAATAGGTGAAAAACCCTTAATATTCTCTGCCAACTCGAACATTTAATGGTCCAAATTGACAGAAGAAACTATTTAAAAGAGACTTATTATAAGTTATTTAAAATAGAATAATTTTTGGTAATTACAAATTAATTTTAATTTTTAATTTTATTATATTCTATTCGCAGGTAAAGTCTCAAATGAGACAGATTTCTTTATTTTCAAGTTACTCCGAAGTAACTGGAAAATATCTTTAGATGAATAATTCTAAAATTTTTAAACATCTTTCCAAAATTATTATTTTTAGTAAATAGTTTACTAAAATATAAATATAAATCATAATCTTCCAGAGGAACTATTAAACAGAAGCTTAAAGTTTCTTTTAAAAAAATGACTTTTAAATATTTTTTTATTGATTAATCAATTTTCTTCTACTTGGAATATTTTACGTTTTATTACTATGTTTACTTTAAGAAAGAGATTTCCACGTTTTATATTTAATTAATTTGTTTGAGACAATTGATCGTTTGAAATTATTTTTTTGAATATTACGTAACAATGCACTCATTTATCTTTCATATAATTCATTGTTACGTTTTTATTGTTGAATGGCACCTTTTATTAGTTCATTTAAATCTCGACTTTGTATTGTAATGATTTATCTGACACTCGACAGCTAAATTAATTTCCTTTCGACCTATTCAACTCGCGAGTTCGTAGACATTTCTACAATAATTTTTACATAAATGCTTACTACAAACTCGTTTTTCTACGACTATAACTTAAATTTAAATTTTATTTTAATTTTAAATTATATTCTAGAATAATTTATTCGTAGATAATTCAGATAATTTCGTATATAATCACAAAAACAATTAGACCTAACATCGATTAAAATTATATTAAATTTTTTATATTGATAGTAACGTTTGATTTATTTATTGAATATGTAGAAAATATTTAATTTTATGTATAACGTCATCGATTCTTGTTACTTGTTTATTATTACACAATCTCTATAGGAGGTGAGAAAACTTTAAACATAAAAATGTCCTTCTTCTCGTGATGACATTTGAAGAGATGCTAATTTGCAAATCTTATTTAAAGGAATTAATGACGTTGATCAAGGTGACCGTTAGCACAGAAATAACTTTTGTGTCTTTTCGAATAATGAATGTTGACATTAAATCTCAGCTGACGATGCTCTTTTATAGTCGAATGAAGATCACTTTTAATCAAGCAAATCTGAACTTCAAACCCTTGTACACATCGTACACTTTATGCTGCTTAGTTTTAGAATTACTGTTTGGCGAATATAAAACTATTTTGGCATTATTTTTGATTTCCGAAAGTGTGCGCATTATACGAGAGAATTTCTGTAGATTTTTACCTTCTCGGCTCTGTTGTATATAACGGAAAGAAAGTATGACAATAAGTCAAAAAATGACTCCCAACATTTTTACATTTTTGAAGTCGGAACCTTGAAACGTCTAGAAATGAAAAAAATTTGTAGGATTTTTCTGTACGTATGGATGCTAGTATGTATGGAGCACGATATTGTTCACCCCCGTTAAAGCTTAATAATCCCTGTACTTTTAGTGGAAAATTTCTGAAATTTTGCAGGAAAATTTGTGCATTAGGGGGAGTGATGCTATTAAATTTTGGTGATTAAAGGTCGATGGGGTGGGGAGATAAAGGAGGTCGTGTGTATCTTCAGTAGGGTCGGACTTAATGACGATTTTACTCGTTATTAGCATTTACAATTTTTTTTTTCATAAAATCCATCAAAATTAAGCATTTTGCCATTCTATAGTAATTAAAAATATAAAAAGATTTTAATAAAATATCATAACAGATGGCACCATATTTTGCTGTTTAAATGTTTCCGGGAAAGTTAAGCAACTCGTTGCTGGAATTATTTTCGTATTAAAGGAAGCAAAAACTGCGAGAAGTTCGATGACAAAATATCGACGTTCTAAAAAGACAAATGATAATAAAAAAAAAAAAGAGCCAATAATTGAAAACCAAAAGTCGAGTTCTTGGTCAGTTGGAACACGCTTCATCGAGCATCTTCCTCGCTTCTACACTCCTAGTTCTGCAAGTTTATCGAAGCATACGGCTAATGCTCGAAACGTCAACTACACCTTTTCATTACTCCGTCATCGTCTGTCTATCGGAGACATTTTCTGATTTTCGAAATCAAATCAAAGATTCTATCTCTCTTACTCAATAAATATTTCTAGTTTCCTTTTTCAAATTTTAATGGATATTTTTTTTCTTTATTTTCCAGGTTGATTTCAAGAATTGTTCCAGTAACAAAATGTTATTAGAAATATTCACCGTATTTGTTCTGAATAGTAAGATCGTCTATATATTTTTTTCTTTTTCCTACTAATTACTTTACTTTAAAAAATATTCGAATCTAAAAATTCTGTTAGAGAAGAGAAAAATCTTTGGCTTCGGGGTGCAAAAGCGACGTCAGAAAAGAAAGTGCCTCATCAGCAATAAGGACTGCTACAGAATTATTGTTTAACAGTCCTTGAACTTCGACATGGCCACAGATGGATCTAATGCAAAAACATTTCTACCAAGCGGAAAAAACAAAACTGTTTTATCTACCCTTCTGATTTTTAGTTTTTTTTTCTTTTCTTTTTTCTCTTTTTCTTTTCTTTTTATTCTCACAATTTATCACAACACACTTTCGATCTCTCACTCTTTCTGTCAAAGTCTTTCCGCCATCTGTTCTTATCAAGTATCGTACTTGTTTGTTCTACAGATTTTTTTCTGATAGAAATACTTTCATTCTCGTTTAGAACCAATAATATGCTTTAAAAGAGAAGAAGAGAAATTTGGACGGAATAAATCTTTATCTTCCAGTCGAAAATGCCCAGTCGAAAATCAATCGCTGACCTAAATATCCAACGTATTAAAAAGAAATAACATGAAAAAAAATTATCTCAAATTATCTTATTTTCTTCTTTTTATAATTTATTCTATAATTACCATGTTTATTCGTAAATGCATATTATTTTTCGCAGTTTTTCTTTCTTCTGCCGACGAGAACGAATACAGATTGGTTCAATATTTGCTATCAACTTACGATAAATCTGTCCGTCCTTCTCAAAATGCAACAGATCCAGTTAATGTGACGTTCGGTCTGGCTTTAACACAAATTATCGATGTGGTGAGTCGAGAAAATATATATAACTTACATATTATTTTTAATCACCCGAAAAATTACTACAATCCTTAAGCGTTTAATGGTAATTTCCAGGACGAAAGGAATCAAATCCTAACTACAAATTGCTGGTTAAATCAGGTAAAGTAATTATTTTCCTTTCATAAAATATGGTCGACACGATTTCTTACTTATATACGTTTGAATGCTTCGCGTAGATGTGGTTAGATTATACCCTGCAATGGAATGCCAGCCATTTTGGAGGAGTTCACGTGGTTAGAATACCGGCGGAGAAAGTATGGAAACCCGATATTATTTTATATAATAAGTAAGTATGATACATTTTTTAAAGTAATTAACGCCAAAAATTTGGTTATATTTTTAATAAATTCGCCAAGCAAAATAAACTCTAATACGGCATTATACGAAATAGGAATAGATCACGGCGCGTAAGCGGCGTGGCTCAGAAAGGGAAGGAAGGTTATAAAATTCCTAAAAATTAAAATTTAATGAAAGTAAACCATCAAATTTTATTACATATTACAAATCGGTTTAATTGCTTGGCAGCCATCGATTAAGTTTTTATAATTATAGTAACGCGTGGAATTTGGAGAGTCGAAAGTCATGTTCGAGAAGAGACGTAGTAATTAAAGTACGAGCATCTTTTCATTGTTTCTCGGTCTGTTTAGAAAGATAAATGGAAGAAGCGATCGAAGTCGGTGATCTGGAAATGTTCGGTAAACCGATGGGCGATATTCAACCGTTTTCTCGTAATCTGTTTCATCTTTCTTCAGAAAATCGTTGCACAAACTATTTGCCATTTAATCTGTCGCATCGCAAATACTGTATATCTGTTCTTCTTAGAGATTGTCGACTGCAGATTAAGCGCAAAAACTTTCCTATAAGCGCCTTTATGCATTCTATCATACTTTATCCAAACTTAAATTGTCCATAAAAATGTCTCATTTTAATACAGATTAAACAGCAATGTTTTATTTTATTTACGGCGCTTTTCGTCCTGTAATCACGAAAAGGGCCTTTTTAAATCACATCTATTACGGGTTCGTTCGGACTCACCGTAATGAATGATGACAGACGGGGCCTGACACATCCGGGTCAAACCACCCATGAAAAATTCCTGTGCTTGCCCGGATTTGATCTTGGGCCTCCAGAATGGTAGGGTGAGCCTTAAGTGGAGGGCCGTCGAGAGAAGGAAAAACTTGATTTCTATCCTTGTAAAATGACATCTAAAAGAGTGCTTTTTATTAATAAAGAAACATTCTACGTTAAAACATAAAAGGCCAAAGGGGCCCTCTCTATCTCGGGCCCCATATAACTGCTCCCATACAAGATGCTTAACTGTCTCGCCATCTGAATGACCAAATTAATTACTTAAAAATCGTTAAATCTTCAATTAAATACGAATAATTCTGTTAATTTGGATTTTTCCAAAATTCCAAAATTTCCAAAAAAAAAATTATTTATTTTTTTCCATTCTTTCCTACACAGTTTAATATTTCCAAATAATAGGATAACTTTACTAAAGAATTCTTGCTTGTAAATTGTTACTATAACAATATTTTCTTAAAATTATCATTTTATGAAAATTCTAAGTTAGCATTTAATAAAATTTATCGTATTTTAATGTGGAAATTTTTTAATAATAATTAAATAATTTTAATGAAGTTTTTAAGAACAATGTTTCTAAAAAGTCGTAAATCTTCAAGTAAATCTGTATCTACTAGTAAATATATAAGCTGAAATTTACTATTTCGAATTACTATGAAAATTTTAACTCTCATAAATTTACTTGTGGATATAGATTTACATGTTCTGGATTTATATTATAACATCGGTTGTAATGTTATACTTATGCAAATTTTTATTTATTGACTTATCCTCAGACTTATTTTGTTTAGATACAATGAAAAACCATCGTTATATACTGTATTTCACATATATTTTAAGGAAAATTTTGTCTCTAAAACTGTTCAATCAAATGTGTCTATTTTGCCACAGAAGTTATTTGACTTTCTCAAATACTAAAGCAGTCATATTCGATTCTTCCATTGTAAAATAATGACTTCATTCTCGAAAAATATAAATTATAATCAGGATTAAATTTAACAATTTATTACAAAAACATGTCTTTATTATAATTAAAATATAAAAGAAATTCGTATTGATTTCAACTATCATTCTACAACGATTTTTCTGATGAAACTAATTCTTAGTTACTCTACAGCTTTTATTTTATAATGCTGTTTATGGCGCACTAATTATTACATTCATACACATTTTTTGGATTAATTTTATAAATTTTGATTTTGTAAAAAACTTAAGTTAATTGGTTAAATTTACTTAATTAAAATCGAATTTATTTTAGGTTACCATTATTATATATCTATCACGAAGTGCTCAGGGATTAAAATCAGAGGAAGAGTGGGTGTTCAGGTTTCACGATAGCCCATATTTTCCGCATGGTCCTTAGAGAGTAACTATGAAAAATGTGGTCGAGGTCGGTCAAATGTGGTCGAGGAGTTACAAGGAGATGAAATCAGGAAGATGGAGTTGGGTGAGGAGGTTTTATGGTAGCCTACATTTTCCTACAGAGTAACTATGAAAAATTTGATACAGATCGGTAAAAGGGTGAAGAAGTGTATAGAAAACAGACAAGCAGACAGACAGCTATTCTATTATATATACAGGTTGTTATAGGGTATACTGTATATAGATATATTTTCAACTTTAGATTCATATACTGTACTTCTTACTGTTTTGTCTTTATTTCACAATAAATACGAGTGAGAATTTTTGAAGAAATTAAGGGAAAGTAATCGAAGACGTTCGATTCGATAACACTTCTAAATGAAAGAAAGTTTGATTATTCACTCGATTTGTCACTTTAGACAAAAGCAGTAATCTTCTCATTTAATCACCAAATCGGTTCTTTCTGGCTAAATGCCAAAACAAGAATAAAAAATAAAATGGCTTACTGTTCTTTGGATTTGTTTATACTCATATTTGATCGAATGTATGTTTCTCGGTTATCTGTTAAAGGAAGAAAAAAAAATACACAAAGAAAAGTTATTTCCTTGAACTTGGTCAAACAATTGATACAAAAATAGATCGTTCTAAATTAAATTACTAAATGATATAAACTCGATAATCGATCTTTTCATTAAAATTTTTCTTTTTTACAATAATAAAATTCTATTAAATTTGATTAAATCGAAAATCTCTAGAACGCGTTATGGATCATATTCTCTGTTTTACAAATGAAATATTCTCCGTAATTATTTAAATTGAAGTTAATCGCATTTTATAATTATGTTAGTGCTGAGATTTTCATTCATTGTAACTTCGATTTTATTTGATAGAGGAAAACGAAGATGGAAAAATAAAAAGTGAATCAAAATAATTAATCGATAGGCCTAATACTCTTTGAAATTTAGATTTAATAATAAACAAATAATTTTTGGAATTTTATTTAATATTAAATTTAAATGTTTTTTATTTATTTTTATAATCGAGATCTGATTTGGCAATAGCTTTTATATTTATAGAAAATAATAAACTTTTACGATACACGTGTTTGTTTCAAGTTCAGCATATTTATATATTTTTATTTACTGTTTGGATCGAATTTTCGACCTGAAAACTATGCGGTTATTATCAAATCTTTACTCCTAAACTAATGTTGTAACCGGCGATGATTAATTAAGTAATCTTTGTCCGAATTTGATTGGTATGCTAAAATTTAAAAAATATCCTACAAGGAACGTTTTCTTAGAAAATTTTGCGAGAAAACTTGGATGAAAATAATTATTAGATGGAATTTGACTGTAAACAGTAAGGAAATTAGTCTTAAAACTGATGTCGAAGAGATCACGTTGAAGTATTAGGAAAACAAAGGACAATATTATTTTTAGCTTAGCTTAAACACGAAGAAATGTCGATGTTTTCTGTCATTAAATCCAAAAACTTATCAATTTATAACGAAATGATTGTTTCGATCGTTCTGGAAATCTAAAAATATGTTTACCAGTAAACGGTTCTACATTTCCAATATGGGGCCGCCCATTAATTACGCGTACAGCTTTTAAACCCTTTTTGACTCTCTCCTTTCCTGTTGTTTACAATGATGCACTTCAGGTAAACCCACTCTCCTTTACTTAAGTATACAATAGTTTATAGACCTTCTGACATTAAAAAAAATGACTTGAACAAGTTCTGCAAATATTTTCTAGTAAATATACATATGAGATCAAATTCGTATACCATTAATACAACGAAAAAGTCCACGTAGACAATGCCTCGACCCCTTTCCTCTCCATCATGAACAAAGATAGCAACTCCTCCCTCCCTTAAACTGTATACGTAACTTAATTAATGGATGGGTTCTATAATGTTTTGTATATGTTGTGTCACTTTGTCTCTCTTCCTCAAGTGCCTACTTCGAAGAAGATGAAGTGACTAGAACTTTGCTGTAATATACATTATCTTTCGAATGAATGCCCAATCAAAATCGCATGACGTAACGTTGAAAGAATGCCTTTCTTGATTAATCGTATCGTAATAAAATTATATTAGATATGTTCAATAAATCATACAAAAGTTCGTAAATGAAAGTATTTAGAAATTTTCAATTTTAAATAAATTTGAAATGATTTCGTATTTCTCAACATTATAGTATATGCAAGCAATTTCTTATAAATTGCGTCTTCGAGACTAATTGTTTTCCTCTTCATTCGCATCTTCATATCTATTATAAATGTTCGTAATTACATTTATCCTGCAAAATTCTTTTTTCTTATTGTGAATTATATCATTCAAATTTCGTTAAGTTTCTTTTATATTTTGCAAGTCTCTAAGTGATGTTACGTTAAGCTGTTTTGTACATCATTGGGTTGCAAGTGGAAAATATTGTAGATTTATAAATTCCCACTGTCTGTCCTTCCTTCTCGAGAAAGAAGTTAGACACATGATAGCCAAGACCAGATATGGAAACTTTAGGAATAGAAGGCCCAGATTAACTATATATAAACTTTCGATGCGAACCGGAAGTCATGTTGTTACAATTCAAGTTTAATCCTGAAAGGAGTTAGATGACCGGCACGACTCGATTACTAAAGGATTTTTTAAATTACCAAAGTATAATGTGCAGGGGCAAACCAGTACTAATTTGAGACGGAAAGCGTATATTTTAAATTAAATAAATTAAAAATATCATTAAAAATTGCAGCCTGGCATTGTAACGATGTCACAATAGAATAATTGCTTGTTTATATTAGCTTTTCGTTTTCAATTAGTCGTGTTATCGATAGA